CAAAAAAAAGAATTCTTTTATTCAGTAACATCTAACAGTAGTTAGATTTGGTAAGAAGTTTTGATATTTTCGTTTGAGGAAGTTTTGTAAATGACATTACTGTGGTTTGGTTTTTTCCAGCCTCTTCTCCACCAAGAGAAGGAAAGACAAAGAAACCTTTGCCTTGGTTCACGGGAGGCAATCGACGAACGGACAGCGAAGGAAAAGATGACAGAAGAAACGAAGGACAACGGAAAAACAGCGACCACAACGACGCCAGGACAAACCAAAACAACGGTAATAGACAACATGGCCGACAGGACCACAGACAACGAACCGGAAGTAAAAATCAACAACAAAGACAACAATCACAATCAGGTTACAGGCCCCGCGGAAACAGCGGCAACCAATTCCGACCGAGTAGCGGAAGTCTATCGGCGAACTGGAGAGAGCGGTCCCAAGCCCAACCTGAGGCGTCGACCAAAGACAAAGCGAAGGAGGCCGAGAGTAAAAGAGACAGTGAAAGGAATGCGGAACAGAAGGTTAACGTTTCTGTAGTAGAAGAACAAAAGGAGACGAAGGGAGAAGAGAAGGGGAAAGAAAATGGCGATGCGAAGAGCCCGGATGAGAAACCGAGCAGGCCTGTGACTGAGGAGAAGCCAGTTGATACAAACGCGGGGCATACTAAGAGTACGGAGGCAAAAGGGGAATCTGCGCAAGAGAACTGAACGCATACGGAAGTATTGAGCTCTGCTGATGTAGAAAATTGTACAGACAGATAGAAATTCTATCTACTAAATGATAACAACTAATTTATAAGTGAAAACAGATCTTGTTTATTCAATGTTACGCGCTACTAAAGCCGACCGCCGTGTCCTGCTTGTGTTTTTGTTATTGTCAGAAAGCTCGTCTTTTATCTCATTTCTGAAATCTTCCAGTGAACCACTTTGCACCTTAACGTCTACATTGATTAATTTATTGTGACAACTTTTTGTTGGTTTTCCAAACCTTTCAGCCAATCAAAGCACAAACCATTGCACGTGTATCGTTTCTTTGACATCTCAGCCTCACAGACTAACTCTGCTTCTCGATTGGCTAAGGAATAGGCACGTAAGCACTCCATTGATGACCGTTTCCGGTGGCAACCGAACAGGTTGTCATTTAAACGTCTTGGTTAAGGGCTTCACAAGGCTGTTAATACTTTACTTTTCTTTCTTTTGCTTGAAGTTCATGTGTTTCTTCTGTCGCGTACAATTGAAAAGGAAAATGACGGCCGGAAAGGACGCAAAGTTGAAATTGTAAGATCTGTAAAGTGATTTTAGATCTAATATTTTTATAAGTTGAAGCAAGTTAAGTCTATGCTCCAGAGGATTAAAAATATTGACATTCAAGTTTAAAGGTTTTGAAAACATTTCCTCGTGAAATACCGTAAAATACCAAGTTAAAGTCCTGGGCTTGTATAACTTCATAAGGGGTTTTGGGTGGGCTTATAAACGGGGAGCTTATACTCGGCGAGATGAAACGTATCTGAGAAACGAATTAAACCTAACATACCATTACATTTAAAGCTGTTACCCTATTATCACCCTATTAGCCTATAACCTTCGATTAAAAATGGTGGTGTTTGTAATGAAACACAAAAGGATCGCACTCATGCATTAGATGGGCGGAAAAATACTCTGTTAGCAAATAGAAGGGCTTAT